TGTCTATTTGTTTTCCTGAGAAACTATCTTGTAGATAACAATACGTAAAACAATAACCATTGATAATTTCCTACCACTTTGTCTGTAATTTGGTAAGCCCCCCCATTATTGTTATCCTTCTTTTACTCTTTAAAATTAAAAAGAAAAAAGAAAGAAACCTAAGGATAATGCAGAGTCTAACTCTTCATCTCATAAAGGAATGGTTTCATCCATGAAGAGACGTGCCTGAAGGTAATCAGGGCCCCCAGTCGCTGAATCCAGATGTTTTTTCCCCTCTGATAACAGCAGTAAGGATTCACAGGTGCGTGGCTCTAAACATGTTTTCATAGACCGACTCTTTAACCCTCGCTTCTCTCACTTCTCCTCCTCCTAAACCAGCTTCCGTCATTCTCAGGCTCCTGGCTTCCTCCAGGAAGAGCCTGGGAAAGGATTTGTCTCCTGAACAACACTTCTGGATGCATATCCTCACCCACTACTGAATACTGTTATCAAGTATAGAGGGGTTGGGTTACTAATCCAATTCCACACTGATATTTGTACAGAGAAGCAAAATTTACTGGCACATGAGAACATTCACTAGGGAAGTGACTGCTGAAATACCACATATTTAACAAGTGGTTTTCCCTTGACGGTTGCTTCTATATCTCTCTGTGTCACCCTGATTTTCAGATGTGGTAAACATTAGCTAAAATGATGGGGACAAAATGTAAATGATTTCAAACTGAAGTTGGAAATCTTATTAAAGATGATAGTAATTCCATGAGGCCCAAGGATGTAAAATTAGTCCTTCCTGCTAATTCTTCCAAGACAGGCAAAACACTGATGGTGAGAAGATGGCAAAGTTAAATTTTTTAATTAAAGAAAAAAGATGACATTAGCATATTAATAAGTATAGTTTGTTCCTTCAAATTGTCCCAAAACAAAGCCAAGATTTTTTTCCCCAAGATTTAGCTTACTCTAACACAGTGCATAGTGTCAACTACAACAGAAATGTTCAATATAAGGTGAAATAAGTTCATTTTTGCAATTTGTTTCATTTAAAAATGAACTTCCAATCAAATTTTTACTCATTTGCCACAGAAGCATGGTCTCCTAGCTAGGTGACTTTTTTGTGATGCCGTTGATCCTCAGAGAAGTAAGTTCTGTATGGCTAAGTAAAAATTAGAAGATCAGAAAGCACAATGTACATAGAACAAAACGTTAGCATAAATTATCTCTTGAGTGGTGGTGTGTCGAGTGATTATTATTTTCATCTCTGAACTTCTCTAAAGTTTTCTAGAAATGAGTACATCATGCTTTTGAAATCTGAAAGTATTTACCCATTTCTGAGCACTTGTTAGTGTTTAATGTATCTTTCCTGGAGTCACCACGACAGAAACCCCCACAATTTCCATCGGATCCTCAGTTCTGGTGGAGGACCTGGCTTTGGATGACAGAGTGCACTGGGAAGGTTCCCTCCTTAGGACTTTGTGGAGCTGGATTGTGCCGCATCAGGGATGGGAGCGGCTCCAGTCTGGATGTAGGAAGCGCTCACTTCCTGCCTAAGTAAGTTCCACAGTTTATCAAAGTTGGCAGTTAGGCAGAAGCTCTGGTTCCTAGTGGTGATGCCTCCTGCCACCTTCTCCCTTGTCTCCTGGATGACATCTGTCAACGTTGAGCTGGTGGCAGTGCGTGTCACCAGCATTCCCTGGGCTGCCCCATGCTTCCTACATTTGCTAAGGTTCAGGTGGTGCAAAAGCATCCGAGTCATGTTCAGTCTGGAAGAGGCTTAAGCAACCAGAGGATGGAGAGAGGCCGCCACTGAGCCTCCTGAGGTATCAACCAAAAACAGTTTTTAAAAAGAGTCCTTCCACTCTGACTTGCCATTTTCCGACAACCATCATGGCCTTGCTGCTTTGAAGCTGTAATTCCTCTATTCAAAGGCCATTTAAAATTTTCCTTTATTCATTATTTCCTATATTTGTCTCTTTTCCTGTGTATACCTCGCCTCCTTCTACAAAGGAGCCAAACATTTTTCACCTTCTAAATCTAGAATTCTATGACTGGCAACTTAGGATATGGAAAACACAAGAGTAAACCAGATATAGGAGTTAAAAAGTTAGGACTGATAAAATTACAAGTAAATGGTAAATTTATAAATGATTAGTATATACTTTACTAGAATAAGTTTATATCAGCCAGTTTATAAATGAGTAGGATAAGTTATAAATTCAGAAGAGGGAAAGGTCTATAAAACACAAGTTTTTGGAAAACCATACCTTTGTTGTAGTTCAGCTTTCAATTTCATTTTTGTTTGTGAATTCATTGGTGGATGTTTTCTTTTGTTCAGGGGGAGTGTCAGTATGTAGTTGTGGCTGGACTTGAACTCATTATG